ATAAAGCTGTCATATTTGCATCCGGTGACTTACACTCGCCATCGTTTTAGATTAATTCCCGTCACAACCTTTTGATTTATGAATGCATAATAACTGAGGGCAATGTCTGTGACTGTGATCAAGTGTGTGTGTGTGTATATGTGTGTGTGTGAGAGTGTGTGAGAGTGTGTGTGTGGGAATTTGTGTCTACAAAGCTTTGACTTTTAATCTAACATGTTGCTTCTGCCTAGATGAGAGAGAATCATATTTTGCGATAATTGAGCGTGTTAAGAGGGATAGATCAGACTCCTGGTGTGAGGGAGCATGAGTTGCATCATTGGTTCCGTGTTTTACAGCAGCTTCTCATCTTTCCTTATCTCATTGCCGTTCATATCAAAGTACTAAATGCATAAGAATTTCTTCTCTCCACTTGACATTGTGTTTCCATATCCATTCCTTGTAAAACATCCAAAGGTCAACATCTGCTCTATCCACTGTGCAAGAGAGTTTCTTTCTGTAACTGTTGCTTCGTGATATTTCTTCTTTTTGTGGCAGCTGTGCAAAGAAATGGCAAGGCACAAGACACATTTTTGATTATATTTTGGGTTTGTATTGACTGTTGCATTTGAATTACAATGTTTTCCAATTTATATTGATTTTATGCAATATGAAAAATAGGAATTCAATTCAATACTTTGTCAATTTGATCCTCTATTCCTTTAATTCCTGTTGTTTTACTGTCATACAAGTTATTTCCACCTCCCTGAAGGAATATTATTCAGTAGACATTATAGTCTACTCCACTTTGTCATCTAATTTGATGTTGCCAAAAGACTGGAGGTGTTGCCTGACTTGAGCATTGTCATCAAAAAACACCCACACCTGTTAAATTATTTGCCAAGATACTATTGTTTTCACTTCACTGCTGGTGAGTAAAGTAACTGAAGAGCACACAAGGGGCTTCACAGCGCATATAATCCTGTTATCATGACTCAATCCAAACTAAACAAGAGTCTGATATGTCTGATCATCTCATAGAGGTCTAAGCTCATCTGCAAACATTTTCTGCCAAAGTCAGTTTGCTTTGCATTCACCTTTGTGTTCCAGCATCCAGAGTCAATCCTGAACAATACAGAACAGATTGTGGAGCAGACTGAGGGTATAATATTAACTGAACAAACAAACTGTGGTCTAAAACTAGAACAGTTTTGCTAGAGGATCTGTGCTCTCAGATGTACGCTGCTATTTGTATCACTTCACAAGAGTCTTGGCAGATTTGACCAAATGTGAGTCTTGACAGTTTTAATGATCAGCCAGCGAGCTCTACTGGGTAGTTCCTGGGCTTCTGAGTTGTGGCCATATACAATAAAAACTTAAAGTTTCTTTGTTAGTCAGCTGGATGCTCCCAGAGCTTGGATTAAAATGAAGGCATATTGCAGTTGTTAGCTTTGCCCTTTGGTGTTTTGTTCAATCATTTTGATCTTGAGCAGAATACCACAGAGCATCATCATTTTTTAAGAATATTTTTTAAATTCAATCTATTTAAGTTGTGAAGAGAATTGTGAAAGACTTTTGTTTTGAAAAGTGCTTGATAAATAAGTCTTGACTTACTTACTCTGAATCAAACATGTTTGATATAATCTTGATGGTTATAAATGAGACCAGCAAGTCAGACTGAGACATCTGTTTGTGTTGGCTCCATCCTAACATCTGCTGATGCACTGCAGACTGGGTTTGATCACTAAGTTAGGCTGGAGGCCAAAGCAGCCTTTAAACCTCTCTATTAACATTCCTGCATTTGCTGGATCAAACAGATGGACTCCTGATACCCCATTACCATCTTCTGGCCAAAGTTTGCCACTGCTTGTAAAAATAGTGAGAGACTGCTGAGAAGTGTATGGTTATGTGTTTATTTATTGATTCATTAAATTAAAAAAAAGACTGAAAACATCGAAACACTTCAGTTGTTCTCATTGCAAATAAAGCCTCAGCCTCTCTATTGACATAATTAATATTTGTGTTTTGTTCCAAAATGCCACTGAAGGATTCAAAGACTGAGTTTAATATCAAAAGCATCTCAGCTGCCTGGGTACAACACTAAGCTGTGGAAGGAGTATTCACACATTTCCACCGTCTCAAACAGACTTTGTATGTCATTACATAGAGGGCGCTACATTAGATAGAAAGACCTGCTCAATACTGTCTTTTATTCCACCATGGAGACTAAGCAGAAGCCCCAGGAGCTGTCTGGCCCCTATACAGAAAGTCTGATACAGGAGAGGAAAAACACTTCACCTTCTGCCAAAAGGGCTCAGAGAAGAAACTAAGCTTCCAGCGCCTGCAGATACAAACTGGTGAATGACATTGGACTTTACAAACAAAAACACAGCTGCCTTTGGTTTCAAGATATCATCTCTCTTTGCTTTATTTTTCAGTGTTAAAGGGGGAACATGCAGCTCGTCTGAGGAAAGAACTTCATCCAAAATGAAACTGAATTTACTTGCTGCTTGTTGAGAAACATAAAAACACAGAGACTAAATACTCACACACACACACACACACACACACACGCACCATACAGTATACTGTACAGTGTCAGTCTGTGGAGCAAGGCAATGTGCTTAGATTGTAACTTTGATCCACAACAGAAACCATTCCACTTTATTGTTTATAGCTGTGTATCCAACAAGCAAACAGTTTGGTCCTCTTCAACGTGTTCTATCCAGCTCGCAGTGATGATCTTGATTTTACTGTTACGGGCAAGAAAATGTACTAATAAATCTATTAAAAATATAATGTAATGTCAGCATAATCAGTCTTGGCTCATACATAGCAGGCCTATAATGTTCTTTTTTTAAAACATTTTTTAAGTGATAACTATGTTGTGAATAACATAGGGGGAGCCTCAGTGAAACACAATCATATCCTGCACAAAGTTTACACAAAACACAAAGTTTAATGAGCCAAGACTATTCCAGGCCAACTTTGGAGGAAGCACATAGTCGTATACAGCACCCCACATTAATATACTTTTCCCCAACATACTAGTAACATTTCAATCTTTGAGTTTTGTTTCCTTCTTTCAGATGATAGTTTGGTTTGGGAAACTGAAGATTGTTGTGTCCTGCATTGGCTTCCTATTGCATCCCTACATTAATACATATATAGAAAAAGTAGAATATAATTTTGCAAATGGCGAAAAAAAAAAATGCAGCACACAGTGACTCTAATTAACTGGAACAAAATGTTGCAATGAAATAATAAAAGTTGTACAGTGCTGCTCCCTGCTGGTTTTATTATACACATGAACATGCAGAGGTATGTGATGCTGGCTGTGCTACTGAAACATGATGCCGCTTTTAAGCTGTGATGCCCAGCTGGAAGAATCTGTGGTACTAAAGCACTACTCTAATTAGCAGCCGCCTGGAGGTCAAAAGGACTAGCCTGAATCAATGAGGGAAATCTTGGTCAGTCTCACAGGAAATAGTTTCCCCTACCTAAGCAACTGCTAACATTATGTCATTGTACAAGGTACTTAACCCCCACTAACTCAACTGGAGCCGCTGAGTGGCCTGAACTGGAGAACTCTGTACTGCACGCAACTCCCATATGTGAATGTGTGTTGGTATGTGAATGTAATGTAACGTATTTAATCTGCCACTTTTTCTGTTTTAAGTCTCACATTGATAATAAACAGATTTCTGTGCATCTTGATTTTTATCTTTTTTATCTATACTTATGGAAGATGTGCGCAGTATATGCTGAAAAATAAAACTAAATATGTATATAATGACTAAAATTACATTTTCATATGGGAAACAGCAACTCCACTTAAAGTACTTTAAAATACATATCAATATATATTTTTCTCTCAATCTTTGTTTTATTCAGTTTGAAAAAATAAAAGTCTCATGCAGTATATAGATTTAGAGCATCCTCTATTTCCCTCTGATTAAATCACCAGGAAGGAAAGAAAGTGAAGTATTTTTAAGATGAAGAGTTGAATCACTTCAATCTTACCTGCCAGTGCAATTTTATCTCTTTTACAACAAGCGTAATCTGTAAATTATGTCGTCTTCCCAATGCATTTAGATAAAATATAAGCGGGAGGAGGCAGAAAGGATCAGAAGAGGAAAAATATATTTAAAGATTTAAAGATGTAAGTCAGAGGTGACGTAATATATTTACTGAAGAGAGAGGGTTATGATGGAAAATAGGGAGTGACTCTGCTGATCTCACTAGAGTAAAGTCATTCCACCTTTAGAGAGGAGTGTGTGTGTGTGTGTGTGAGTGTGTGTGCGTGCGCGCGCGTGCGTGCGTGCGTGCATGCGTGCGTGCGTGTGTGTCGACAGAACATCGCTCCAGCGACCAATGATCGTTTGAAGCGTCCTCTACGTCACGTCGTGAAGAGACAAACTCGGTTAGTTTCACTTTCTGTTGACTGTTGGACGTTCACGTTTAGATCAGATACATTTGAAGGTACGAAGTTGGCGTAAAACTGCGATCTAAGGTATATGTTTTTATTTTGGTGAAATAATTGACAGCCGACTTGAGCAACACCTGCTGTTCCAGACACTTAACGCCACGTCATTGAAGTCATCTATCGATCGGTTTATAGGTCAGACTTTCGTTTTCATTTCACCATCTTCTGTCTTGTTTTCTTAGGCCTTGCAGTATAACGCGCCTGGTTTGTATGAAAATCACACAGAAGAGTTTTATAGCGCAGTGTCGCTTATACAGACAGATCCAGGTGACAAATCTCTGACTCTCTTCTGTTTTTACGTCTTCTTTTTGTCCAGGTGAAATCATGTCCACTTTGCTGGCAGTGATACAGCGCAGGCACTCGGGGGCAGCCTCTACCCTGGAAAGTAAGAGACCATTTGTTTTGACCTCTCAGCAAAACATGAACATGCAGACATGATGTAGGTTTATTTTACTAGCACAGATGAGTGCTCAGAGACCCTTAAAACCTCTGAAAATGACATGAGATGAACTGAAGTTGAATCAAACTGTACTTTGAACCACACCTGTCCTCTCAGAAGCAGGTTTCAGCACTGATTCAGAGCTCCACTCACTGACTCGACAAGACCTGCATGAGCTGTTTCCTGGAGTTGACAAACTCAAAATGAGAAGGGACATCTTTGAAATTATACACAAACAGGTGAGCTTACATGGTGAAATGTGTTGGTCTGATTAGAGAACGATCTAAATAGAGATAAGTAAAATGGGTAGTAACTAGTTACCAGGAACAATGAACAAGTAAAATGCTCCATTAGTATTGTTCTGTGTTTTATTGTTTCAGAAGCCAATCAATGTGGTCCTAGAAGAACTGAAAGGGTTCATCCCACATGAATCTTTCAGATGTATGTACAACCTTTCCAGCACTTGGAGGCAATATATATATATTGTATGTAAATGTATTGTCATCCAAATTCTAACACACACATCCTGTTGCTCTCCCTCCAGCTGCTCTAACTAACAATGGGGTCTTGGTTGACTACCTCCATATCCTGAAGGACATAAAGACCCAAGTGAATAACGTGCAGACCTTCCTTGATGCTCATATTGATCTACTGGAGAACATGAGCAAAACTCAGCCAGACCCAGAACCTGGCAGAGGTTATAATGCAGTTTTTGTTTTATTTTAATATCACAGTGTCTTGAGTGCATAAGAAACCTCGTCATTATCATAGAGTTGTATTTTATTCTGATAAATCAATTACTAATATACTTAATCAAAGCTGAGTGAATGCACAGGTTGTTTAGACCTGAGTATGGAGGTTCATGCTTGAACTTGGAAACACATCTGTAAAAAAAAATATTCAAAACTCAAGTTACCTTACTAGCTTTTTTTCCCAGAGCTCTTTGACTGTATCATACGACCTTATTCGGTGAATGTAACTTGCTCAGGTGTCAACTCAAAACCCACAACTGCAAGAACATTTAGCCATCTAGCAGTTAACCACAAACCATTTAACACCTACAACCACCTGTTCACATGACAGATCCTGCACTTTGCTTGAATGGGCTGTGGGAAACAATCAAAAACCTTGAGTTTAGAATATTCAGTCACAGACTGTAGCCTTCTGGTTGAAGGTCAAACCTCGCCCTCGCTGCACCAGTTGAATGTGTGCTTCATGTAAACAGAATATGGGTGTTAAGGCAATCGATTTAACATGGTTTAAGTGTATTTTTATAGTTTATTCGTTTAAGATTTGGAATCAGTAAGTGCATTGTGCCATTGTACCCAACAGGTTCTTTGCCAGGTACAAGTGACTCATCCTGTGGAGTGGAGCGCCGCAGTCACGAAAATAGTGGCTATCCACAAGAAGCACGAGGTAAATCTCATTTTCCTCCGCTTCACACTCTTGTGACATATCGAATGAGTAGAATTCGCTTTAAAATTCAATTATAACATTTTCACCTCATTTGGAGTTGATTTTTAAATGATGGAGCGTGTTACTGCATTTATGGCATTCTGTGTGACAGGCTATTTACCCAGGGCAGGTATGGCAGTGCACCAGTGGTCAAATTATGCTCTTTACTGGCCAAACTGGTGAAAGTAGATAAGGCTCATGAAGTAATCTAACTTTCTTCCAATTTACACTTTCATAATTTTGGGAGCAAGTCATTGAATGTGAATGCTGTCTTTCTCTTTAGGAGATTCCATCATCACGGTGCCGCGGGATTTTCAGCAAGGTGAGGTGTATAATAATTAGACACTCAGCAGGTAAAAGTTGTTATGCACAGGAGGCCCTCTATGAGTACAGGAGCAGGAGTACCAGTACCAGTTAACTAACTGGGTCTTATGAGTCATTGTCACTGTAGAAAACAGGAGCTTCAATTCATCAATAAACTGGCACAATGAATATGACGTCATAGTTTATAATTATTATGTAGTTTTTTTTTTAAAGCTTTATCATTTTTCATTTTCTTGATTTTGATGAACGTCATAGCAACTACAAGAATAATTTTATTCTACTGTTAGGTTCACTCATTTCTTGTGAATATATCTGTGTCAGCTTCACAACCATTTTTCTTTCTATAGCCACAGTGAAGTACAAGATGATTGTCAGCGGTAAAACCTTTGGCGCCCATCACCAGCTGATAAACCAAGTGGAGAATCACTGTCAGGATGGGGTTCAGTTTGTCGAAAACAGTCAGGATTTCCAGGTCATTATTGTCTTCTGCCCAATCAGTTCACGCGTTGGGTCAGATGTCGAAGCAGCGTTGGCCGATGTTAAAGGTAAGGTTATGCTTTTTAAACCCATTCTATTGAACAGGAAACTCAATATAATTTCTTTGTTATTTGGTTTTTTACAAGGTTCTCTCTCAGCTATATGATCAACATTAAGTTATCAACATATTGATATATTGGTAAAATTGAATCTTATGGTGTTTACAATTGAAAGAAATATAAATCTTTTGATTATCATTTGTGTTCAGTCCACTCTGACACTAACTGACAATTTTGAGTTCATAATTTTCCAAACTATTTCATAGTCCTTCCTCTTTTTTGTATCCACAGATGATAAACCTATCATTCTCGTGTTGATGCACCATACACGTGAGGTCAAGTACACATCCAATGTGAAACCAGGGCCTCATGTTAATGTTGTGTTTCAGGTCAGTGTTTTCTTCCATGAAACAATGAATGGGTTACTGAAGTGTGAACAAAATGACCAGGCTGTCTCTGTGATACGAAAAGAATTACTGATACACAGTGGTCAGATTACAAAGGACGCCATTGCGGGTATGGTTGCTGAAAGTGATAGGAGTGATACTGCTTCTACTGGTGTTACCGGTAACACCAAAAATGATGGTTTCTTTCATTTTTGGAATGCATATAAAAAATAAATCATTATAGTATCTGTGGTGCCGATAGTGGTAATGATGGTATTATTTCAGGTAAAAAGTAAAACTGTTATGGATTATAGCATTTTATCATTGTGTCATTAGAAACAAGAAACACAGAAAAAAAAGTATTAATGGATCTTGATTTGTGTATGTCAATTTGTTAATCATCGATACAAATGTAAAATGTCTGAGTAGAAGATGGTATTATTTAAGCATGTTTTTCTGCTGTTAAATTTCTAAAGCTACCATCTTTGTGTAAAACCAATCAAACTATCATTTAGATTATACATGTAAGAGAGGGAAAAAGAAAATTTTGTCATTGGTATAAATGATATTGGACTCATTACATGATTACATGTAACTCTTTTTTTGCAGTATGTTACATTGAGCTTTTGAGCTGAAAATCAAATTTTCAGTTCCTTTGAGTTTATGGAAAGATTTAAAATAGGCCCAAAAGTAAACAAGACTGTATACTGCTGATAATGTGCAATGGATGTGCAGTGGAGCCATGTTGCTGTTTTCTGAATAAGCTAGTGCACTGAAATGAAGAAATGAATCCAACTAAGCTTGTTTTAAAGAAACAGTACCTTTAGGCTAATATTACTGTCTTTACTTTCTATATACAGTATAGTAAGACTTGAATGTAAAATAAGAGATAAAACAGTGCAGAGGCCACAAGTTCAGTGACCAGCCAACTTTCTCACTAAATAGATACACATGTAAAAAGAAAATATAAATGAAGATAATTAAAAGTGCACAAATAGAAAAATTTGTGTTTGCTTTAATGTACATTTTGTTGTAGATGCTTATAAATAAATGTCTTGGGAAGCTTTTAGGATGTGTGAATACTATGCATGATACTTTCAATAAACTTCAATGAGTATGATCATAATGACTGAATGATTCTTTAGTTTTTAGTTTTTAAATGTCCTTTTTTCTAATGGTATCATATGTGTTATCTGTTCTCCTCACTTTACATAACATGTACTAAATGTACTTTAGTACATACAATGCTTTGTAGTAACATTTGTGTGTGTCTAATTTTGAAGGTTTTTCAGTATGACTGATTTCTAGGTTCTACAGTGATATATGACAAGGCTCCAATTGTTAAAATATGAAAGGATAAATTGACTGTGCATCGTGTTCAGTGTTGGGTTAGGGTTTAAATGTTAAGTCTAACCATAGTGATTTAAAATTATTCAAATACACAATATACTTAGCTAGATTCTTAAAGTTGACTACTTTTGTACAAAGATCAGATTTTTTAATAGCTCAAGTGCCAGATGCTTTTATTTTGAAAAAGAAAAGCTATTTTACTCTGAAACATCAGGCCGGAAGTTCAGCATTGTTTACAAACAAGCTGCTTCCGGTGTGCACTCCAAAGTAGCCCGTGTGCATAAATGTTATTTTTCGTTATTTGTATGGACTTTTTCTGAGAAAGACTGCCACCGACGAGCTTTCTGCACCAACAGCACACAGCCAAGTTATAAAAATGATATTCCGGTTAGTTTTGCTAATTAGCGGCAATACTCGTTTAGAGAAAGTTAGCTAACAGTTGGCTAGCTCACCAGATGTGCAGCATGGCAGAGTGATTCATTTCAACAGGTGTTAGTTACAGGAACGGAAAGTCTCTGTTCTTTTTGCGGTTGGGTTAGCTGTTGTTAACTGTTCTGTATGTTCAACTAGCGAGCTGTTTGTTCGTAATTTTGTACGTTTGCTAAAGTTAGTCACACTCGTGCCATGCTCTTCAGCCGCGTCCTGTTGAGCCTCAGGTCGACGTGTTCAGAAAGTGTTTGTTTACAGAGGATTTTCGCTGTCAAAGAAGTATCAGTTCGGAGGCTGCATCACATATCCACCAGTCACCCCGAAAAACTCAGCTCGATAAATCCATCTGCACACCTGTGCGGACTCAGGGTAATGACATGACATTTGGGATGGAAATAAAGCTCGTGTTTTCCTCACCTCAGTTTACAAAAAGTATAATGTTGTGACCTGGTTACATCATTCCTCTCTGTTTTAGACCCTAGCACAGACCTGTCTGTACCAGCAAACAGTGTGTGATATGCAGCCAGCCAGTATCTCCTATGGCAAAGAGACCGTTGCGATTGCCTCAGATGATGATGATGAGGGTGGTGAAGATGTAGCTGGACAGGAGAGTAGGCTAGAAGATGAGGAATTGGTGAAGATAATAATGACTCCAGGCCAGGTGGATGCAGTCAGCATGGAAATCCAGCAAGGGGCCACTGACACTGTGTCTGGTGAGTAGGACTGACTGCCTGAGATAATGTCTGGATTTGCCAAAATGGCCACACAGTACCAACTGAACTCTTTTATTTGGAAAAAAAAAACAGCTCTGAAAATCCAGCCGATGCAGGGCCTCTTTGTGCAGGATGGAGAGCGTTTCCAAATAATTTAAAATCAGCATGCAAATTGGCGCATGCTGCTTATGTGGCAAACAAAATGCCAGGTGTGCCAACAGCTTGATAACCAGTAGAGACTGGTAAACACATCTTTGACATGGCTTGATAGATTTATATTCAGATGAAAAAGGTTTTGTACCGTCTTTTCTAATGTTTGTTGCTGTTAGCTGACTACAACCTTTTCACTTGAGTAATAGTAGTTCGGAATATCTTTATCTGTAATAGTACAGATAATAGTTAAACATGTTTATTATATTGCTCTACCTGGTTCAAAATTCAAGTGTACCTTAGTATTAATCGTCCCCTTGGTAACCTATTACCACAGATATTCCACATCATACGCAATCTGTACTCAAGCAGATTTTCTACTCCTCCGATTCTCTATCACGGTAATGTAATTTTATATCATGATATCTGTAAATATTGTAATTTATCAAATTTTCTGGAGAACCAGTTGAAACTGTTAATGAGCAACTAACTAGACATGGATGCAAAAATAATTATAAATCAAACAAATCAGTCCTGCTTCCTGATTTGTCCACATTTGGCTGATACACACAGAGGTGTATTACTCCACTTCCTGAAAGTATGGTATGGCCTTTCTTTCACTTAACATGCAGCACACTGTCTTTATAGCAGTCTACTTTTTTGGTGAACATATCAATCAATATTGTAAGGGATTGGCCACTGAGTACTGCAAAGAAGGTTTAGTGTGTTCTCGAATCATCACCTGTACATGTGTATAAGTATGTTTTTGTATCCATGGTCATGTATGTGTGTTAGTTGTATTATATATATTTTTTCTTAGCAGCTCCTACAGGATCAAATGAGAAGAAGACAAAGAGGAAGATGAGGAGGGAGAGGAAGAAGTTGATGAAGGAAAAGCTCAAGTCAGCCGATACTTCGAAAAATTTAATGTCAGAGCTCCCATTCGCTCTGACCAGCCCCACCAAATGGAAGGAGCTAGGATGTATGTATTAATATTATTTTTAATTATTTCTAATTATTTTTTGAATTAAAGGTTAGGATTTTTTTAAACCATCAAAAAGCTAAAGACTAATTAGGTCTGATTTAAATGGAACTAAGTTGTGCTGCAGCCTTGAAGCTGACAGAGTGGCCAGTTGGCTGTATTATTGACAACCTGACTATGATTTCTGTTTCAATTAATGGCCGTCCTCTGTAGTCCCCAGCTCAGAGTCAACCCAGAGAAAGAGGAAGAGAGGAGAAAGTGGAGGGCGAGTGGACAGTGAGGAGGATGGTGACAAGAAGAAAAAGAAGAAAGAGAGCCAACGACCAAACTACTTTGTCTCCATCCCCATTACTAACACAGATGTAAGGAATTACTATACTGTTCACATACTTGTTTACTTTAAGGATCATGCTGGAGTCTCTGCACCCTTTACCCTACTTATTACAAAATTACAGATTCTTTTATCAAAAATCTTACCAACCAATTTTGAGTTGATTCACTTTTTCATTAATCACTTAATTGTTTCAGGTCACACTATGCTTTGGAAAACAGTTGGCATTATTAGAAACTGATAAATATTAAGAGTAAATTGGCTAAAACATATATAAACATCAGTATGATTCTTCATCCAATTCCTGCCTTTTTTCATGCTACAATAAGCGTGGCACTTGTATTGCTTTCCTCATCTGACCAATTGCATACTTTCTGGAATTAAAGCTGTTCTTTGTTTTTGTGAAGCTAATAAAATCAATCTTTGTTTTAGCTGCTACCACTTTCTGTTATTATGACGCAGAAACCGATGACTGTCGACCTTGTTGTCTCCTCATGTGTTGGTAATAGATGAGATGAGAGAAGCTGTTGCAGAAACCCTTTGTATTGCCCCATTTTGGTGTATACTTTAATCTGTTCTCTCCAGATCATTGTTGGATTCATTATTTGACACTTGTTCATGGTCAGTATACCTTGAACTGTGCAGGCTGGAAATCACTCAAGGAAAAAACATTCGGGATTCAATTTTCTGACGCCTGATGACACTGAAATCTTGTTCTTTATTGACCAAAAAGCTCCTCTGAAGGGACATTGATTTACTCCATGGTGATCATCTACTGACGCCTCATCTGTAATGTTGAACTGCAGAAGCTGCCCCAGTTTTCTCCTCTGTTCCATCTTTTACTCTCATCTTCTTTCTTCTGCTCATTCATGGTAGGGAGGATGAGGGAAGAGAGGGAATGAGCAGTCACTGTATGTGATGGTATCTGCCTTATTGTAACTGCTGATGATTAAAAGTAAATTTGTCCAATGACAGATAAGCTCAGCCGTGGCTGAGGTCCAAGAGGTGGTGCTTCAGCAGGAGCCCCAATTGGCCAAAGCCATGATCCCCATCCCAACTCTCCACATCACGCTGTTAGTCACTCATCTCGCCAATCAGGAGCAAATAGACCTGTGAGTGGATGCACATGCCAACATATACACAAACATGCAAACAAACTCAGCAGACACATGGTAAATAGTAAATGGACTGCACTTATATAGGACTTTTCTAGTCTTATCGACCTCTCAAAGCACTTTATTGCCACATTCACACACATACAGTATATTTAAGTACATGTCAGTCCCCTATTGCTTGTGCAGCTTAACTAAGTACAAGTTACTATAGAATTGCACAACATGAATAAATCAAAGGAAGTAAAAACAACTGCAGTCAGCCAATGTGTGATATTAGTGGAGCAAAGTGGTGATATTTAAAGTGTTTGATACAATAAAGTGATGGAAAACATTGGGCCCTTTTCATGGCAAACAGTTTGACTTGTCAGAGAAGAAATGCTCAGGTGTGACATTAATAATGGCTCCTTCATGTTATTGTGTAGTGACAGTGAACCAGCAGCCATGCCAGGACCCTGGAACTGGCTCCGCTAAAACAAATTCTTCCATCATTAATGTTGTTAATTAGACCTGTGTTCGTCCTACTATGACATGTAAACATGTCTGCAGTGAAACAGGTCAACAGGCCTGAAAATTACAAACTAATATATGATAATATACTACCACAATGTTTTTCACATGATAACAATGACATTACAGCACAGACAGTTATACTCAGTAAATGACAGTATCTGCGTAACTTAAAAGAAAAATCTATCCCATAATTGGCTTAATTATGTTTTTTAAAATAGCAGAAATTACCACATGAAAAGCTTTCAATTTTACAGATTTTTTATTTTTATTTTTGAGAAAGCTGAAATGAAACGGTGCGTACCAAATTGCACTGAACTGGATCCATACTGTATGTAATACAGGAACAGCAACGTTGACATGAGTCATTACTTAAATGTCAAACAGCCCATTAGTTGGCAAAAGCTGGACTACCAGACGCTACAGTTCAAATGTTCAAACAAAACAAAATCCAATATTAGTGCGACTATATCCATAAAATTGATTGCAAGAGATGATATCACAGTATAAATATATATTGCATTATTGATATGTCCCTCTGCTAATGCACCCAGTTATCCATGCAGATCAATACTGATTGGCTTTTTGGGGTACATGCACATGGACCTGTGCTGTACATTATTTTTCTACAGTGACAGATTGCTTTCTCTCCTGTCTATTCTGTAATGTAGGATAAAATTGAATGAAACCTCTCCTTTCTCTTGCATTCTCCATCTTCCGAATTGCTCACAGCTAAAACGCAGAGCTTCAGTCAAACAGAGTACCACTGAAAATGGCTACAATTATGTTTTCTCATGCGATTCCATCTATTCTCTGTGATGCTATATATCATAGAATCACAGATCCCTTCACAGAGTCTTGTTTCAGTTGTGAATGTACAGACTTCAGCAAATTAGGATTTGAAGACAGGGATGCAGTGCTCTGCAGTGACTAATTTTTTCAGGTTTAGATTCCAGTAATGAGCCTTGAAAATACTGTTGAAGAAGTTTTAGGAAGAACAGTCAACACTCAAACATGCCAGTCAGAATAAACAATCCCTCTTTCGCACATAAATTTTATATCTTACAATTTGTCCTTTTTAAAGGTCCTTTCAACCGGTACTTCTGAAATATTTATACTCTGCCTGTGCATCATCATCAGACATCTCAAACATCTGAATATTTTGATTTGTTTTGGTAAAATGTGTCATCTAATCCACACATTGTTATTGTAATTAATGCGAACAGTGCGGAAAAATCCCACCAATTTATGTGATTTTTAGGCAAAGTGAAATAAATGTTACCTACATTGTGTGCTAATACATGGTGCTGTAATATTTATATTCTAGAGTGAAGTTATTACTCTAACATTTCATGAAAGCGCTGGAAATGAGGAAGCCGAGTTATGTGATGATAGCGATGCTTAATCTACATCAAGTAAAAGATTGTGTCATTAGTAATCACTATTCTCTCGTTATGTAATAGGAGAGGGACGGAGGGAGGGAGGGAGGCAGATAGGGAGAGGATTAAGTTGTGAATTGGTGTGTGTGTGTGTGCGTGTGCGTGTGCGTGTGCGTGCGTGTGTTATGTATATTCATGTGTATATTTCCTTTCAGAGCGGCAACCATGCTGACCCAGGTCGAGCCGTTATTGGCTGAGCTGCTGGGTGGGCGGAATCTGGTGCTGCCCTTCTCAGGCATCGGTCATTTCAGGAAGGAGGTGGTGTTTGTTGGGCTGGCCCCCGGACAACACAGACACACACTGGATAACCTGGCAGGTCAGTGACAAATGTATAGCTTTTCACTCTCATGTCATCGTCCAACGCCTCTGTAAGTCTGTCACATTGATGTATAGGCTGTAAGTACTGAATTACATTTTGCTTTATAAGCGGTTTTCATGCTGTGTTTTGCTAGAAGATAAATCACATTATTGAATGTTATTGTGATACAGTACTTGTCTTTTTCTGCCCCTGTGGAGGGAGGTCTGAACTTGGAGTCAGCTGAGGAGACCCGTAGCTGGTTGGAGGGTTTAGTGTCTTTCTTAAGGACACTTCTTCAGGGTGGATGCTTGCTGTCCTGGGGGCTTTGCTATGCGAGGTCACAGATTAGACAGTTTTAGGCTGTAATGCTGACTGTCACACTCTCACATTCAAAGTTCAGAGGTGATCTAAGCCTGACTTTTATCCTGGAGTGACCATGAGATTAGATTAAACTGTGGAGTTCTTGAAATAAGCAACTAATACAAGAGTGTGAAAATGTGGCTTATTTAGGACAGGGCCCAGTTTTAGTCTTTAATTGAAAATAAAGCATGGTAATACCATACAGTGTGCCGATGTATGTTAGCCCTAGTCCTTGAAAGTCAACCACATGCACTGATTGGTTATTCAGTGTAACTACATTCTCTTTCTTAGCATAAGATAAATGGATTTGGTGAAATAACTTGACATTTGCTGCCTTTCTTTGTCGCTGTCTTTTTTACTTTCTTTTCACTTCACTCGTGTGTGTACATTGTGTGTGTGCGTGATGCATCCACTTGTCCTCTTACATTTGTCCTTTTACATCATTATAGTTGACCGGGGGGGAAGGCAGAAGCACTTGCGTGTATGTTTTTGTGTTGTGCCTGAGGCAACAACATTAAGCCAACATTTCTAAGAGGATTCTCGCTCTGTTGCTCTCGTGATACCAACAAACACACACGGACACTCACAGCTAGACAGAGTAAATGAACTCACATTTGCTTATTACTGTCCATTTCCACTCTAAAATATCAGATCAGAAATATGCAGTGATTTTTAAAGGTAGACACAAAATGAGGGACTTTATTAATGTGCATGTGATCCACATTTTGTTATTTGTGTCTAGCTATAGGGGAGTTGATGGGTTATCATAAATTTATATTAAATTGCCTGAACATATTGTATTGGAGCAGCATTTTTAGCATTTGGCTATTACTGATGGCCAAGCTGAGACAAAACCCAAAAGGCATTTCATCTCGGCCTGATATAAAAGGAAATTCAAGGGACCAATAGTTCCTAATAAAAACTTTTGCAAGAGTTTAAAGGAGGTTTTGTTTTCATCCCATTCTGTCCTTCTGTTTGCAAGACCTTAAAGTGATGAGTTTGAATTGTTTGGAAACTTTCATTGGTAATCAGGTATAGAAGCTAAGATTAACTTTTCATACCAAATTGCCAGAGGGGGTTGCAGTGGCGGTGGGTGTGTCCCCCTACTTGAATTTGAAGCCTCCAATTGGATTTACGTTTCTCCATCAAAGTTTCTGAGCCTCTCAGCAGACACAAGAGGCAGACCCTCCATAATTGGCCCAGTCAGACGCAGTCAGCCCTAACCCTTGAGTGATTAAGTATGTTCTGCACTGAGCCTGAAGTGTGTCGAGAAAGTATTAATAGAAACAGTTTTGCTCAAGAGCTTATTTAATCTTGACGTTTAGGAAAGAGTGTTTGCCTGCATGCGTCAAATGAAGTATGACTGTAGTTTGGCTTTAAAACAGCCCAAAGCAGCAAAAATACAGCAGCACCTCTGTATAGTCTGAACACCTCCTCAAGCTGCCAAACAGAGGTCACTGGCAATGACTGTGAGTTTAAGTGTGCTGTTGTCCCTCTGATATAAATGAAACACATTTATCCATATATGCCTCAAACCACTAAATAGGTTGTCATAACAAAACAACATTGCAACAGAAGTCGTGTCCATACGCTTCTGTACAAACTTGTTTGTGAAACGTTAGTTTGCAGTTACCTACTTAAAGAAATATTCAATCAAGCTCATTTTGCTAGCTGTGATATTGAGTTTTGACCCCTAACAGTGGCACTTTGTTTATTTACTGTATTGCTCTTAATCTCTTTTAAAAGTATAAGTGGCTTTGGAGTATAGCATATAAAGTACAGAGTCTTGAAATTCTTAATATTAGTACAATAACCAAACTGCTGGTGTTGACACAGTCAGCTCTGCATGTATGTACTGTAGATGAGGACTTTAGCTTCTTGTAAACCCTTACAACTGGACCATTTAGACTTTGGTGTTTAACAAGGATCCTTAATGAAGAGTGATGCTTCCTTTCACAAACCTCTAATTATAATTCTGACGTGAGAAGCAAAACAGTGATAAGAAAAGGTCACAAGCAAAGGGTCCACGTATTATTATTGTTGTTGGAAGAGTAAAATAAGGGTGAGGCAGGAAGTCAGACTCTCCCGTCCTCTCGTCTGCTCTCTCCGCCACTGTTATTGATTATATACTAACCTTTCTCTCCCTTTACAGCTCCTCTTCTAAAAATACCTCTATGGTTTCCCTCTAAACCTCATCAGTTGGTGTGTGCATCTTTGACCGTGTGTGTATGACCTTGGAGGTTGTCTGTGTGTCAATGCTTGTGCCCTTGTTTGTGTATCTGTCTTTGTCTGCGTGGTCAAATGATTCTCCAGCAAAAAGCTTTTTTTCCATTCTCAGCGATCTTTGTTGAACTATTTGTGTTTTCCATTTTTTTTTACAAAAGTCCATAAAACGGATTTGAAATGGTTCATAGAAATGGAGGTGGATGTACAGCATACTCATGATGTTATGGGTATGTTATAGTAACATTTTGCATTATGTCAACTTACGGCCTTCCACTTTGGCCTTATTTATAAGTGGTTGCTTATATAACTTTTGCCTTTTTAAAACTTTGTGTATGTTTGTTGCAGAGTTGTTGCGAAGTCGTTTTGAGGAGCAGGGTCTTCTGCAAGGAGACAATCGTGGGTTTGAACCCCACCTCACCATTATGAAGTTGTCCAGAGCATCAAAACTACGATCCCAGGTACGCACACGTACGCTTACACACATATTATCGTTAGAGTTTGGTCATGAAAAAAGTGTGTAGATATGCTCAATATATTAGCATACCACAAGTGTGAGCCAATATCAATTTAGAGAAAAAACGTAGTTTTCAGTCCAACCTACCTTTTGCTAGGGGTGTAATGATTCTGAAACTGAGAACGAAACTGCAACACAAACATCCACTATCTCATGTCGGAGGCCGGAAGACGGAACTGAAACACTCCCCCCTGCGGTAATAATTAGGCTATCTAGTTTAATGAGCTCAAGATGGATAATAACTGTGAGATTACAGACCCCCCAGGCCCAGCAATGTGGGTACTATTTGGTTATCCTCCCCTCTTAAAAAAAAAAAAAAAAAGAACAAAAAAAAGAACAAAAAGATAGATATGAAGATATATAAGAGATACGAACTGAACCATGGATTAGGGGAATCGTTACAACCTGTCCTTTTACCACCGGTGTTTGACAGATTGTTAGGGCATTTTTATGCTAATTGTTTATGCTTCAATTTAAATTCCTTAATATATTTTAACCCATTAAGTTGATTTTAATTTGTACTAAGAACACTAAATGTTGAGGTTGTGCAGAGACTCCATTTTACTGTGTAAAAGGAAATACAGTATGTCCCTCCACACTGGGATGTCAGGAATATCAACTAACCTGAGGCCGATGCATTGCGCATACACAATATACAGTGTGTGGAAATAGCTCATTTTAAACTAATTACCAAGTCAGTTGTTGCACTGGCACATTTTGGTTTTAATGGATAAAATCAGAATAGTTTCACTTGTTCAAAAAAAAAAAAAATGCATGATGCATTTTTGTGCTTTCATACACAGTCCTACGTTAGCTTGCTTTCTCATAACAAACAGACTGAGAGAGATGCCAAACAGCTGCAGCGTCACACCTCTGTCCTCATCCAGCTAAACTCTCAGTGGCTGTAAAATGTGTGATCCAGTAGTTAGATTCCAAATTAGTGCTCCAGTCAAAACTATTAGTGCGAATAACACACCTGCTGTGGTGTCTTAAAAGTAAATTGACTGTATATAATTTCATAATTTATGATGTCAAGCTAAGAGCCAACTGTTATATTGGGAGGGATTAGGATAAGGTATGGGGGGGGGTATGAAATTGAAAAAGATATAAATAAAAAGGAGGAGGGGAGTGAAGGGTGGAGAGGACAGAAAGATAAGCAGAGACGAGCAGTGGTCAGGAGGGGAGAGACAGAGGAAGGATAGCATCTATCTTTTTTTTTTTTTTTTTTTCCTTTGACACCTGATGACATCTTATCCTGCCTGGCGCCTGCTGGGCTGCATTTCTGTCCTCCCCTAATCTGTCTTTTGTGTGTGTCAAGAATGATTGTGCATGTCCTAAGAAGTGTGATAAACATGACATAAACAGCATTATCCCTGTGTCTCATAGGGTATAAAGCGTGTGGACCCAGCCCTTTACTCCAACTATACTAACAAGTAGGTGCTTGGTTTTTCATATAACTACTTAAGTATTTGGTATTTAGTACTTGCTATAGATGTAAGCACAACATTTTAGTCAATATATGCATAGTAATAGAAAAGAAATACCATTTCTCTTTTTGTCAATTTTGTGACTCACTGGTGTTTTAATATTTCTTTGAATTTCAAATGTATCTGTTTTATTTGAACAGTATCACATTGCATCATCGTTTGTTTCCAGTTTGGTCATTCTTAGGATGTAAATACACATTGGCCGAGTATACTGCTCCATGCAGTTAAATTTTGTTGTCAGTTTTAATTTGAGTGACTCACTGCTGTAAAGTGGCTGTAGTGACTGACATGTGCCTGTTCTATTTGCTGGAGGCGTAAACACTCTCTCCTGTGTCTTTTATGTTCTCATACTCACTTGGCCTCTGTCACTCAGGTTTTTTGGAGACCAGACGGTGGAGCGGGTTGATCTTTGTTCCATGTTAAAAAAGAAGCAACAAGACGGATATTACCACACTGAGACTTCACTACAACTTGGTTAGTGCACACACAAACAGGGTCATATTGTGTGTGTGTGTGTGTGTGTGTGTGTGTGTGTGTGTGTGTGTGTGTGTATGTGTGTAGTGTATCTGCCTATCAGTGCAATATTAACCCACTAGAGGGAGCTGTCTGTTAACACCATAATGTGTTTCTCTGTGTCAGTGGGGCAAAATATACTTGGAGCAAGTTATTTTTGGGGTCATTAATTTTTATTTGTTTTTATTTTTCATCTCTGTCGATGAATTTGAAGGGGAGTCATTCCATTCTATTTGTGTCTTTGTCAATCAGTAGGATGTCAGAAACTTATGAGGCTTTATTTTTAAATTGTATTTTTTATACCAGGAAAAAAAAAGGTTGGAGTGCTGGTTTTATGACTGGGGGAGTCATATTTTTGAGTAGGTTTATGTAACACCATCAAACTTCATGTGCTTAGCAGAAGCTAAAAGAGAGACAAACAGGCCTAATCAAACACTGTGGGGATACTCAAGCTCATTTCCATTTTAACATTACCAACATGCTGGTTCTTTCAAAAGTTGGCACTGTGGTGAAACAGCAGCTTTATTGGCTACTGAATAAATTTAATGATGATGGGCATTGAGATGTTTCAGTAATGGATTCAAATGTTTTAACATTTGATGTAAGTGGGACATGTATGCATATCCTTTAATGTACATTTTCTGATGTGTAGCGGTGAAGTGTCGAGAAAACGTTACGTTTTTATTACAATTTGATATGGACTTAGTGGATTTATTCTGACTCTATTGTAACTGTGTTGGCAGAAGCAAACACATACTTGTTGTCTTGGTCTAGTGTTGTATAGTTGTTAAATGAATAGAGGAAGTGCTCAGATCAGTGAGACTCCCTAAACTGTCGTTTAAAATGTGGCATAGATTAGATCAGAAGATTTCAGAATTACATCAGAAGATTTCTGTATTGTGTCTTTTGTGTTGCCTTGTTATTGAGCTTGTAAAAGACCTGTTATGGAGCTGTGTAGTCCAAAATGAACTGGAGATGGCGCTGTTGACCACTGTGGGACTTGGGAGGTAGCCACACAGGCAATATCTTTGTGCTCCTGGTGTCTAGCTAAAGCTGGAGCCGTGTAACAGCATGCTAGGAGCTGACAGGGAATTTGATCTCTGTAAGAAAACAAACTTGTGATGGATTATCATATGTATGTATCTGATTTGTATGTTCACTGATAAAACAACTTGTCCATAATCACATTTTGAGCAGCCACTTTTTGTTAAGCATCATCTGATTCCAAACAGCCTATTACCTCTGAAATATCTTGGAAGTATTGTAACATGTTGATTGGAAGCATGAGCGGCAGCTTTTTCAGGGTTGTTTCTCTTTGTAAAAATGTTAGAAAATAAGAACCGTGCCATCTGTTTTGTTTTGACAGTAATGACATGAAATCAGTGACTGTATCTGCCCCAGAAAACCCTGACTCAAGAATCCCTGCTTTGAACTACTAAGTAGCATGGTCTGTGATCATATTCAAGCCAGTTGTATAATGATCAAAACCATATAAGCCGACAAACAAACCAAAACACATTTTTTATTCAAGCTGTAGTAAAAAATAAGCTCGATGTTTCACTATTATGGCTTAAAATTGGCTTAAATTAAGGTAGACATGTGAATGTGTATTTGTCTTTCAGGATCACGAATAGCAACATAAATATACATGAATAAATTATTGCATCGTTACCATGGTGTTCTAAGCAGTAGTGTATACCTCTGAGTACACATAAGCACATACAAATGTGCATTGACAGTACGCAGCATATAATGGATTGACAGGGACTCCCCAAGTCCCACTGTCAAGTAGTTACACTAATTGCATTGTGTGTGTGTGTGTGTGTGTGTGTGTGTCTGTGTGTCTGTGTGTCTGTGTGTCTGTGTGTGTGTGTGTCTGTGTCTGTGTCTGTGTGTGTGTGTGTGTGTGTGTGTGAGTGTGAGTGTGAGTGTGAGTGTGTGAGTGTGAGTGTGTGTGTGAGTGTGAGAGAGAGAGAGAGAGCTGTCACCATGAGAGGGACTAGGCTGTCACAATGTTTTGTGGATCACTGGGCTGTCTGAGAGAGACAAAGAGCGACAGTGTGTGTGTGCGAGTGAGAGACAGAGAGAGCAGGGGGATGTTTACCTCACACTTCTCATCATCAGAAAGCTTGTGTTTTTGTCAAGTGTTTTTCCACACCAATACAGTCGTATTTAAATTGTGAATATGAATTGAGCACGACATTCAGTTCTCTGATATTATAATGCTGTCTGTGAGTGAAGTGACAGGAATTAAGTGTCATCCTAAAGCTGACGAGTTACATAAGCTTTTTAAACTGAGACTGTGTAAATTTCAAAAGAAGAAATATCACAGTCATCCTCTTATATATGAAATGCTGAATTCATAAAAAATAAACACATCATCGCTCAGTTCAATTCACTTGGTTTTTCCACTACAACCTTTTTGGTGTGGTAGCTTATTGTGGCTAATGTCTGCAACTTTAGATAGATGTTAGTAAGTAACTGACATTACTGAGTCAGTTTGTTCATTTTGACTCTTTACTGCTTGTTACACAATGTTTTAACATGCTTGATTTTTTTATGGTTTACTAACGAAGAAACTGTAAACCACCAGGAGATGTTTGTTTCCTGCATGTGGTCCCATTGCACTTTCTCCATCAAGTCACCCAGTGATAGTGTCTCAAGAGACCTTTGGAAAATGAAAGGAAATTGTATGTGAGATTATTCTTGTACTTGTAAACCCCCACTGGCTGCTGTTCAGCCAAAGTTGCACAGGTTTGGTTTAAATCTGCCCTTTTAGCTCCTCTTAACTCCTTAATGAAACAATGACTCTCAAAGTCACCAAGGGGACATTCATTACAATGAGTAAAATTGCTGATTAGTGTTAGTAGTAGTGTTAGATAAGTTTGTACTTTCTAAACTGAGCTCTTCATTAAGATTTTCCTTGACCATTAAAGTAACTGAAGCCTGCTGAACTTATAATTTTGTCACCAGATCATAGAAATAATAAAATCAGCTCCTCTGAGGCATTGGCATGCACACACCATGTTACTTAATCAGTGCAGGATAAATTTAGCCTTCGAGGGGTTACTTTGGACAAATTGCACTGTCACACATAAAGACTTGCAGTAGCCACAGTTTCACGGCTGTCACAAGACAGGAATTCATAAGGGGAGGCAGGTCAAGGTGTTAAAACACACCAGCAGGACAGACACTGTCACATCCCAATCTGAATAAATTAACCAGATTACTAATTACAACATTGACAACACTTTTTAGATTGATAAATACATCTCTCCTACCTGCTAACTACAGTACTTTTACAAACATTACAGAAGACAACCTGTTCAGTGTGACAGACTACCTGTCTCAAGAGGCCAATTCTTTTTAACTTGACTTCCACATCGTACCGAACATGAATGTAAAACAGCAACTGAAGGTAACACATTCATCCATTTGAGGACGAATGGTTTGAGAATGGCCAACATCCACATTAGAGCTTGAAGTGTCTGTAATTTGAAGCCAACACGTGAGTGAGGCCACACACTCTCTACTGGAAAGCAATTACTCAGCCAGCACACAGCAGTCTTACTGCTCATTGTAGACAATGATGCAGCGGGGAGTAAACCACTGACTCCTCATCTAACAATTCCACAGATTTGACAAAGAAATCGCTAATAACTTGAATAATTTTATTTACTGAGCAGATTTATTGCATATTGATCATTTCCACCATTATTCTTATACCTAAATTACTTATAAATTACTGCATAAAAATAACATCTTCTCTTAGTCATTGTATTCATAATGAAATATAGACCTTGTGTTGTTGATGGATGTGGAAAAACATAGTTTCATGTATCCTCTAAATTGCACCACTGAGTTTGATACTGCTGCTTACATGATATCATCCTGTCACGCTGTGTAAATTGCACCAGAGAAAGCAATGGCTACTGGTTAAACTGAGTCTTGGTGGGTTTATCCTGTCCTATTCCTCACAGGGTGCCGCTGAGGTTCAGTGTGCTTTTGCTGGTGGTGTGCAGAGGACAGTGTCTGATTTTCTCTGTGTATATGTTAATCCCACAATCCACAGTACAACATAATCCACTACAAGGCCTCTGATACACAATCCAATAGGGTGTGTTTGTGTGTGGGGATCAGGGAGGAGGACAGAGAATATACAGACGGTGAGAGAAGGGTGAAAAGATGAGACATGAGTTTTTCTTGGATGTATGTCATCTCCACATTGAATTTCAGGTGCCAAAACTCTGAGGGAAGCAGTCACTCCTTGAGCTGTAACTTTGTCATAAATACAACAGAAGAGCAACTGTTTTATCTGTTTACAGAAGCTCATGTTGTTTTAACATGAGCAGCAAAATGAACGGTGGTGAGATAAAATTACACAAAGTAACGCTGGATTAGGGCTGCAACCAATGATTATTTTCCATATTGAATCGGCTGATTGTTTTCCCACAGTCTTGCTTTGTCCAACCAGCAGTTTAAAACTCAAAGATATTCACTTTACCATCACGTGTGACAAAGAAAATAATCAAATTCTAACATTTGAGTAGCTTTAACCACAAAATATTTGGCATTTTTTCAGAAAAACAAATAAATGAGAAAATATATTATTGAATCCAACATGGAAATTGCAGATTCCCCTGCTAACGATGAAAACTACTATATAAGGAGGCAATAACAGAACGTAAATAGCAACTGCTGAAGAAAATGTCATGCAGAAATACTATCAAAAACAGGGTTTTATGTCATGAAAATCTTAAACCTGCAGTGACTGATTTTCTTGGCCACTTGGATTCAGAAACAAGCTGTGAACACAACATTGACATCATCATCATCTTATAGGTGATATGGTAAACTTGTGAGCCAACAGTTGCTTATTTACACATCCAACAACAATATCATTCATTTTGAGTCGTATTCACAGTATAAGTAGGTCCATATTATTCATTCCCTTTTAGCTC